GGATCCATAAGAATTTTCCACCTGGACTGGAACCACAATACAGCTAATTTAGTGGTGGACACTGACTACTGCCTCAGGGAAAGGTGCACAAAGAAACTTTAGAGTAGGTTGCTGAAGGGCGATCTGCCCCTCTGGGAGATCTCAGCTAAACTGTTAGCAGTTATGGATTGGCTTATGTCCTGGGGTAGACAATTTTGTTTCCCTTCCAAAATCTCTTAGCACCAACTATGGGAGCTCTGGGTACCATGGTCTCTGCATCCAAACCCTCTCTGCAAGAGAGGAGACTCAATTTTTAAACACATTGTTCCCTTCTTAGGGCTAATCACTGGCACAGGTAACCCCAGGGACAGGGCTGCACTGCCCTTTTATCTCCTGCAATGCTTATTAAATGTAGCGCTGCATCAATATGACTGAGCATATAGAGCATAAATGCCGAGAGGAGTAGCTCAGCAACAGAGAGACAAACCAGACTGCACATCCACCCAAAGCATGGCCCCAGATCAGGCAGTGCCACCCAAGGCCAAGGTCTGCGCAGGCAGGAGTCAGATGTCAATAATGCAAAAAAAAAAAAGCATGTGAACATAAAGCGCGCTGGCTGTGAGGGAGTCCAGCTCTTGCTTTCCCCATCCATCTCCTCTGTCTCTTTAATGCCACCCGCTCAATTGGGCCTGGTAAGAGGTTTTTCTGCAGTCTGCAATACAACACAGGTTTTGCTGAGTTGAGTAAAATTCCTCCCATGTCACTCTCTCTTCCTGTCCCATGATCTTAGCCATAACTAAGGGAGAGATGGAGTCACGCAACCCAAGCTTTTCTTTCTTCCCTTCCAAATGCTACATGGTTCCCTTTGTGCCTGTTGGCATTCAGGTTATAATAGCACTGAGATAACCCAGATGAGCACGTGATTATTTTGGTAAAGTGCTGTCCAAACACACGAGAGACCCTGGGAAGCTTACAGTCATATCAGAGAAGAATGCGAGGGGAAACAGAGAGGCAAAGAGAAGCAAAGGGATCTGGCCATGGTCACCCAGCAGGTCAGTGGCAGAGCTGGGAAGTCAGATTTCTCCACTCCCCTATGGATTTAGGAACCTAATTGTACATGTGCAAATTTGTCCAGTGTGGAGTGGAACTTTCAATTAAACAAGAATATAGTCCTCATGGTGCCTTTGCTGGGTTGGGGGGGGGAGTGTTTAATTAATTAAAATGAAAAGTAAATTAATGATTGAAGACTGTTCCTTTTGGTGAGATTCTGTGGAGATTATTGAGAGAGAGGAATGGGCCTATAAGACTTAGCTGAAGACACCAGGCTTGTTATTAACATGCTAGCTATAAGTAACCCACTGAAATGCACAATTGAGGAGTAACCTCCTTCCCCCAAGCTTGCAGTAAGGGAATTAAATTCATAACTTACATTAGCATGATGTAGCATTTGCACAGACAACATTTTATCTGTAAGGTTCCAACAGCAACACAAAGGCCATGGCGCTGTGTGCAGGCAGGGGCTGTTACCTGGTCCAGCAACTCAGTACCTCCTGTTTTATGTTGTTGAAACCACTAGGACCTATGCAACACGGCTGAGTTACTGTTGCTGTTGAAACCTTAAATGTGTGTTTCCTGACTTCTGATTCTTTCAAGGGTTGCAAAACTGAAGTTGCATTACTTCTACTTTACATGGATATGACACCTAGAAGAAAAGTATTTAATTCACACCTGCTGCTATAGAAGGGGAATAAGAGAAACTCTTGCGTAAACTTTCCACCAGTGGGGGCATTCCCTCTTCCTGAGTCCACCCCACTTTTTGTTGGGCAGGAGAAGAGGGTACCTTTACATGGAGATGAGAACCGTAGAAGCTCTGCTGTCTGACATTGCCTGGGGGAGGTATCGACCCAGCACACATCTTCCATGTGCCTTGGCCTGTATGGGTCTGGCTCACTCTCTAGGCTCTGTTTATCTGTCGGTTCTGGAACTAAAGGCAGGACTGTGGAGGGGTAAGTGTCTCTTGTCCCTCACTTGGAACTGGATTTTGTGTGTGAGAGAGAGACTGGATTTTGTGTGTGTGTGTGTGTGTGTGTGTGTGTGTGTGTGTGTGTGTGTGTGTGTGTGTGTGTGTGTGTGTGTGTGTGTGTGTGTGTGTTGAAAACAGTGGCCTTCCTCACACAGCAGCTGCAGTAAGGGTACACTGAGAAAGAGAGAGCCCTGTTTGCAGGTGGGACATGAAAGACAACATAGAGCTGCTTTCATTAGTCCCTGGTGTGAATCCCACAATCAGGGAAATTGCTGCTATTACTAAAAACCGTGGCAGAGAAGTCCATTTATTTTTCATTTTTCTTGGGCACTTGCAACCCAGCAGCATGAATCACTGTCCGTATGTAGATTAAATTTACGCCACACATTAGCTTTCATGTCTCTAGTGCACGTATGTCAGCTAGGGCTCTTGGCCAGTAAAATTCAATAGCAGAGTGACTGTTGCATGCTGCAGCTAGGACAGCATCAGCTCTCATGAGAGAACATCCCTTTGCTATAGAATATCTCCCTGGACATGAATAATGTGTGATGTCTGTGAGTGCCTTGAGCTGTGGATCTCAGCACTCTTTGGTAATGCCTAGTGCTAGAGATCAGAAGGACTAGAAGGTATAAGACAGTATTTCCTTGTATCAGACTGATTTGTTCATGCATATGGGAAAGGTTTGGGTTTGTCCATTGGTTATTTATTTAAAAACAATATGGGCAGCTGTGCATCCGTATGCAGATAAGAGGTATTATGGTCTCGTGGACATGGTGCTGGGCTGCGAGGCAGGAGACCGGGGTCTAAGTTTACCTCTGCTATTTACTTGCTGTGGGACCTGTGGCAAGTTGTGTCACCTCTAGTTTTTCATCTTCATGTCTGTTAGAGTGTTCATTCCTTGAGGCAGGTCTGTCTGACTAAGTATATGTCAATTCCTTGCACAATAGGTCTCTGGTCTCACTTGGGTTGTGTGTAATAGAGATAGGCCAGTTCACAAGCTGATAATCAGTCCTGCCATTAATCAATCCTGAGAAATGCCTGATTTTGGATTTCCCCTAAAGATGTGTTGCTACAACTGCAGAACTGTCCAAGAGCAGGGATGGATCCAGAGGGGGTGCAGTGGTGCGATCACTCCCCCTTTTGAGTCTCCAAGTCTCTGAAGCAGGTAAGATCTCCTCCTCTTCCCTCTGTGCTCAGCAGCACATCCTTCCCCTCCTCTGCCCACTTCTGCCACCATCCCTACTGACCCAGGGGCAGGGAGATCTCCAGACCTGCTCCTGACCTGCTCCAGCTAGGTTGCACAGGGATCTAGGCTCAGCCAGGAACAGTGGCAGTGATGGTGGTGAGCGGGTTCCTCCTTACTGCCCGGTCCCCCCTGGTGTTCCCTGCCAGCTTGGGAGCAGACATGGGGAGCGGGGATGCACCCACTGCTGTCATTACTGATGCTGTCCCTAGCTGATCAGGCTCCCTGTTCACCTGACTGGAGCAGGGCAGGAGCATCTCTGGGCCCCCCTCCCCACCCCCAAGGTAGCCAGGGACTGTGGGGACAGTGGCAGTTGTAGGTGGGGAAGGAACAAGATGGGAGGGTGGCAAAATATTTACCTGCTTCGGGGACTTAAAAAAAGTCCCTGGCTGCAGCTCCCATAGTGCAGTCTGCCCAGCAGGGGGGTATGCAGGGAAGCTGGGAGCACAGGTGCAATCACTTCTGCAGTGCTGGTCGCTGTTCCTGCACCCCCCTTTACAAAATCCTAGATCCACCCATGGCCAAGAGGGTGTTGTTTTGAGTTTATTTTAGAACTTGCCTCTAAGATCATGATTCATCTCACTAATTCTCATGTAAACAGGGAGCAGATCCCACGATGTCAGGGATCTGACGTTATGCATTGGAATGGCATAACAGTGATCTGGGGAATGTAATCATCTTGAAATTAAGTGATTGAACATGTGAATAACAAACTGCCTTGAACAATGTTCTGTCCCAGCTAATACAAAAGACATACCCAAGTAATGCATATCTGCATGGTACTGAATTTGAAGCGCTCTGGGATTCAGAGCACTTCAAATGCATGTCTGTCCAGACCTTCAGAACCGTATACTTTACAGGAACACACAGACATACACGCATGCATTAAAACAGACTCACTCTCAGGCAGGCAAACACAAATACATTGTACAAAGGACATGCGCACACACAAATGCATTTTATACCCAGGCTTACAAATACACACAGGTACTTGCTCTCAGACACACAGAGATGCAAGCTGTCACATGTGTATACCCCGCTGCACACTTGCAGAGCTCTGCTTAGCATGCCTACTCCCTTAGCTGCCCTCTGCTGTGCGCTGAGGCAAGGATGCTTATCTGCACGCTCATTCAGTCCCACCTGCAAGGAGCTCACTCATTATGATACATTTCAGCCTCAAGATTAGTACATTACATAGCTGTGTGCTGTCAGTAGCACAGCTACTCAGAAGCACACACTGGGAGGTGTACGCTCATAGTTGGGTATACTCAGTATTTCAGATACATTTGCCCACCCTTAGACACCCGTCGGTGCGGCAGATGCATACTGCCAGCTATCATTACTGTGTAAGAGCCCTATCATTTTGAATTAATCTGGGATTCATCATGCTAGCAGTGAATGTAATTAATTTATTTGGTATTAATGTGGATGAAATATGTACTGTCCTTGCAGGGGAAATCGCACTGCCTCTAAGCATTAGTTAAAAGGACCATTAAAATCAAACCTTTCTGAGAGCCATTAAGCCAGTCTTTCATGCTGAAGAAGATAAAGCCCTGCTGTGTGAAATGTCATGCATAATTAGGTTGATTGCTGTTTTAAACTCTGCCCCTTCTTCCCTGCTCCCCCACCCTCATCCCCAGTCATTGCCTCCTGGCAGCACACACTCACCTGCTCAAGAGATTCCCATCGGCTCTAGCAGTTTATTTCTCACCATTACTCCATCCATGTCAGAGCTGCTGCTTGTCCTCTTTGCAGGCGTTTTGGTACCAAATGCACGGCCTGCCAGCAGGGAATTCCTCCAACCCAGGTGGTACGGAAAGCCCAGGACTTTGTCTATCATCTGCATTGCTTTGCCTGTATCATCTGCAACCGTCAACTGGCCACGGGTGATGAATTCTACCTCATGGAAGATGGGCGCCTGGTCTGCAAAGAGGACTACGAGACAGCGAAACAGAATGGTAGGTGTTGAGCAATTAGCTAGCTACACCAAAAAAGGTAGGGGGGTGGGGTCCATGCCTGGAAGATGCCATCTGTAAAACTGAGTTTCAGATTATGACCCATCATAAGGAAAGTCTGGGTAATAAGGATTTTGATGGTTGCTTAGAGTATGCAAGCTTTTAGTGGGCCTGCCCAGGATTTGCTGTGAAAATTCTGGGAAATGCGGATCTAAATTCTGGACTAGATAATGCTTACAGGGTGGTTGGATCTTGGTTATGCTTGGCCTCTCATCCAGGTCTGAGTGTGTTTATCCCCTTGCTCTGCTGTGTCCCTTAGTACATGCATAACATCGAGTACACAAATAGTCTCACTGGCACGACTAGGATTGCTCACATGTATAAAGTTGAACCTGTCCTTAAGGGCTGGGCTGTCTTGGGGTTAGGCCGTATATTTCCCTTTTTCCTTTTCTTTTTTTGTATTTGTCTTCCTCCATTTTTTGTTCCTGAGATCACCAGCAAGAGACCAGGATCTCCTTGCAGCTTTTCAGCTGTCTGCTGCCCACCTGACATTGCACTCTGCTGTGAGAGTGAACATCTTGTTGAAAGGATTAATCCACCAACCTCATGTGGGAAATAAACAGCTGAAGCAGGCGGACCCTTAGGAAAAAAGATGCTGTTTCACAAAGAAATGCACTTATGACCAGGTTTCCAAAGAGGTTTAAACACCAACAGGTTCAAGTAATTGTGAGTTAGGCACCTAAATGCTTCTGAAAATCCCACTAGACACCTATCTTCACCTTCAAAAATATCTTTAAAACTCAATCCCTAGTACAGTAGAGTCAATTATCCAGACTAAATGGGACCAAAGCCCATTTATAAAATCAATATTTGGTTAATGCATTAAATGAGCATTTATGTACATAATATATGCAAACTTTCTTCAGTTTGTTTATTATTTCCCAGTCTTTTCCTCAATCATCAAAATGGTTCTTTTTTTTCTTTTAGTCTCCCTTGCTCTCACTTCTACCACACACTGTGCAGATCGGTGGCATGTCCTGGGTTTGGAAAACTGAGTGGTCTGGATAATTGGTGTTTGGATGATTAACACTGAATTAAAATTTAAGAATACTGGGGAATAGAAATATGGCGGGGGGGGACCATGAAAAAGGAATTTCTGGCACAGGAGATTAGGAAAAGGTGATGCCAGGAAGATAGGTGACTCCCTTCTAGTCAGGCCAGTCATTCCTGAGAGGCGTTAGAGTGGAGATCCACATCACAAACCTAGTTGTCACCACCATGACCCCTTGCTAGTAGCCTCCAAGGAAGCACTAGCCCCCTCCTGCCCATACCTGCCACCTAGGGTAGGATGAGGCAGATCAGTAGTCCAGTATGAGGGAAGCTTTTCTTGCCACTCCTTTTGCTGTACCTGTTCTGCAGAGATGTGAATCACAAAGCTTGTCCATCCAGCTCTCTTTCACAACCATTAAGGAAAGAAAGGATAAAGTATCTAATTGGCATGAGCTTGTATAGGATGCAAGAAAAGCTATGGCAGTTTTTATAGCAGTTTCTTTATCATGTCTTGTTGTTAGTTCAGCTTCACTGGAAATTAGAAGGTTTCTAACCAGCAGAGCAAGGAGGCTCTGCAACAGTCTTCTAAAAGCAGTAGGGACAAGTACCCAGACATGTGTTAGGATGGAGTTTGATATGTCTCACAGCCCTGGTCATGATATGGTACCTGCGATAAAAGCACACTGGTTTTGATAAGCTGGAAGGTCTCTTCCAGTCCTTTGTCCCTAGGCTCCTATTATTTCTATATTATTATCTTGTTTCTATTGTAATTTGAGATTGGCCCATATAGGAATCTGGGTCCAAATTTTGCATGCTATGGGAAGGTTGGAATCCAGATCTGATCAGCACTTCAGCTCAGATTAATTGGACGTGTCTATATGTGATGCTACGTTGCTGTAATGGTGTGCTATGGTAGCTTAGCATCCACCAGCATCTACATGTGACCAGCAGCTACTTTGCCGTAGTGGCATCCTCTCCCATTATAGCACACTGCTACAGCAAAGTAGCTGCTAAAAATAACTGTGCTACATGTGTGGTTACCATGCTGTGCTTTCGTACTTCCAAAAGGAAGTACGAAAGCACAGCGCAGTAATAAAGTCACCATAGGGCAACGTGTAGACGTGCCCATTATTTAGTAGTAGTAGTAGTAGCAAGTGAACTGATTTTCAGTCTCCCATTAGAAACAATATGTGTTTCTCTGTTATGGGATGGTTGAGATGAGAATATTCCATCAGTTCCTCTGGGTCTGCCCTTCCATAGAAAAGCTAGCTCAGAAAGGCCATGTCAGAATAAAGTGAAAGGGCTTTACCCTGCTCCCATTGGAGGCAATAGAAATTTTGCCATTGACTTCACTGAGAGCAGGACAGAGCTCTTCCTGCTCTTCTACTACTACAGTAAGGTTATTCCGACCTGGATCAATCTACACAGAAATAGAATTAACTTGGAGAATGAATATCCATTCATAGAAAGTGGCTGTCACTACACAAGACACTGACTACGTAGTTGTTACTGCGCAGTCATTTAGTACTTGCGTTAGTGTACAGTAGCTTCCCCGCATGGCTTCCAGGGGACGTTTACTGTGCTGTAACTCATTACTACTGTGCAGTAGCTTGTTACTGCTGCACAGCAGTGTCACATCACAGTTCATGCCCTGCAACTCTTCTGCACAGTACTAACAAGCTACTACACAGTAGTAATTTGCTACGGCGCAGTAAGCACCTTGTTTAGACGTGGCCAGGGACTATTCCAGGGCTGGAATATCAGTGTGTGTTAGTGACAGAGGATTCACCGGACTCATAGAACTAAGTGCCCCCTCTCCAGAGGATATTGGTTCTTCCAGGTCAGATCCATATGTATCTTGTATTTTCCCAAACTAACATGTTTGAGCCTAACCATTAATTTGAGGGAACATGTTCAAGGAGAAGCTACTTCTTGTACAAAGCGGAGCTGGTGTGATTTACTTCAGTCCAGGGGTGGCAAAGATTCAGCCTGTGGAACCCTGTCATCTGGCCCACAGTGCTGCCCAGGTCTCGGACTAGATCCACACACTGCATGTGGTGTGCCCCACACCAGGCCACATGCCACATGTAGGGCACAGGCCTGGGCTCCCACACTGCGTGCAGTACATGGAGCTGGTCCAGGGTGTGTGGTATACATGGCCCCCATGATTGGACCCGACCCACATGCTGGACTCAGCATGTGGAGCTGGTCTGACCCATGGGACCCCCTGCTCCAACTCATAATAGAGCCAACCCTTAACAGGGTGGTAAGAGGTGCTGGGATGCTGTCCATGAAGCCTACTGCATGAGATGTATCATGAGTCTCAACTAGTTGTGGCCAGTACAGGCCCCATAACACTTTGACCTCCTGGCCAAAACTCCACTATAGGGTAGTGACAGTTTGCATCTCTGAATTCTCCTTGCCTGATGTGGGTGTAGTTTTCTGACTCATTCCCTATGCCTAGACAGTTCTCTATTATGCAGTGTTAAAGAGCTGC